TATTTTGGGATAATATATATGCTTTGCTTTGCTTTTGAAATAAATATTATTCATTTCTTAACCATGATTATTGTGGCGTATCTACTATCTAGAGCTGTAAAATAGCTCGTCCTTACTATAAAATTAAAGATTATATTTTGGGTAGCTAGTTTATATGAGTTTATAAGTTAGAATTTTAAAATTATCATTGTATAAAAAAAGGATAAAATGTGTGTCATTTTAAAGTATGTAAAGTTGTGTCATTTTAAGAAAGAGAAAGAGATAGATAAAGGAGAAGAGAGAGTTGACAAAAAAAATAAATGTGTGGGTTTAACCTCTTTGTGAGAGTGAAAAATATAAGTTATGTCATTTAAAAGAATAAATATTTTTCCCATAAAAAAATTATATTTTGGAATTGATGAATATCTTGGCAATCAATGCAATGGTCATTTAGACGTGCGTATCCAATCTGTAGATTCCACTAATATTTGCCAAGGCTATGATATCCAATTATGTTGTCCAAAGTATACGTTTGGGTAATTATTATCCATAATAACTCAAACCATTTGCACCAAAAACTGGTTACACGGTTCTAATGAAAATAATGATTTCCTCATTTTGAAGATTTCTCTCGGAAAACAATATAAAGAGAGTTTAATTAGTATGTACTTCTAGTCTAAAGTAGTTTTACACTAATCTCTAATAATACTTTTAAAATAACATAATAAATAATAATATATTAAAATATTAATAAATACTAGTAAATAATTCATTTATAGTTACATTGCATATTTATTATTATTTTTTAAAAAGTTTAAGTCCATGCATAAATGTATACAAAAAAAAGGAAAAATAAGGAAAAGCAAGAAAGGTCATCATTACAAAGGAAAATTTGATCCAAAAGCACACCCCACAAACATGTACATCACGTATAAATCAAAGGCTTTTTGTTTTTTTGTGAATAAAGAAGCGATTTAGAGAATGCATGATACTCCACTTTATTCTTTAAACAAAGCCTCCATCTTGGACCCGACATGTCTGTGCAAAACCTCTTTCACATATTGCAATTTATCTCCCGATGCATTATTTCAGCAACATTTATTTGATGATCACGGGAAAACAAGAATAATTCATATTAATTAATCATATGAGGTAGAAAAAGTACCCAATGCATGTGTAGCATAATAGACAATAAACAAACTTTTTTTTGGTCGCGCTAATCACGCCCCCATGCCCATCTAACTCAATGGCCTCAATTGAAACCATTTGATTGGAAATTCACCTTCCTATCTAATTATTAGGTTCTGTACAATTTCCTTAACCTCTATTTGTGATCGTTAAGGCAGTGATTGAAATTGCCAATATTGCAAGCTTTTGTGTAATTAAGGTATACGAGGTAAATATGTCACGAGCTAAAGTTCTAATCATCGAAATCACGAGTTCATACATAGGATATATAATTTATACAGTACTATATAGAGTGAAGGAATCCGCAAGGAGAATGTAGAGTTTGGCGTGGTACAAAAGGGCAAAGATGTGTAATAGAGGGAGATGTCTCGAGATACATTCCTAGGGAATTACCAAATAATCCAATAAAGATTAGTGCAGAAGAACCCACTTCAAACTTTTTTTTTAAGTTAATTTAACCATAATTATCTTTATAAAGCGTGTTGACTCTCCTCAGTATTTTTATAAGTTTTAAGTTTTGACTCTTTAAGTTAACTATAGGACTAATTCAAAGTGCGAGGTGGGTCAAAGATGAAAATATTTAAACTTCTTTCAAAAGTGACATGTGAGGATCGGTTTAAATATTTTTTTCTCTAACACGCCCCGTACTCCATGTTAGTGTAGAAGAATCAACTTTAATTTTTTTTTTGAGTTAACTAATTCTAATTACTTATTTGAGGTGAGCTAACTTCCCACTTCAAACTTAAAAAGGCAAAAGAGTGAATATTAATGAAACCTCCCGTCTTGGATAATATCCTTATCTAATATTAGATTAACTCCTCTATAATAAAGGATTAAGTCTCATATATGTCTCTTCAAACCCTAATCCAGCTAGTTGTCCTTATGCGCACACGCACTGACACACTTTCCTTATTTTTTTGCTTACCGTTTGTGGATAATGATCTACCATCATATGCCGTTGTCTCCTCCATCAATAAATACCGCAATCTTACAGATCCTACAACAATTCCGATCCACTAAAAGGGGTCGAGGTTTTTTTTATTTTCAAATTGCATTTTTTTCTTTCCTTCTCTTTTTTTTTTCTTTTTAATGCTAAAATGGAGAGATTGGTCATGCTGACCTGCTTCAAAGGATAGTGTTCCTATATAAGCAATATAAGCTGTAACATTTAAAATCGCTAGGAAGGTGGCTAAATTAAGCTCGACACCGCTTGCAATATTGATAGACCAGAGTTATTCATGAATTTGTCTAAGGTATTTTACATAACAATATACTATAGATCAGTTTATAATAATGTTACTTATACAAAGAATATAAATTTATAATAGTGACTAGAATGGCGAGTAATGAGAACAAAGAACAGATATTTTAAAAAATCCTAATTATTTTGTATTTTATACATTACAAATATAATATTTTTAAAATTGTGATTCCATCTTTATAACTAATTTATCGTGCTTTCATAGCTTATTAAAAAGAACAAGTACTTATTTGTAATACAATTTCACATAAGTATTTAGTAATAAACAGCATGCATGAACTCATAAATAATTTTGCCATTTTTTTACTAAACTCATTTATTATTGCTTCAACTTTCTTGAGCACGTGGTCTTTTTGCTTTATCTTTGGGTGATATATTCTTCATTCATGAGTCATAATTACTGTTAGTTCATGTTATGCATCTATGTATTAGGTGCACTGTTCCTTTTGGAGCCCAGTCAAGCAAGTAAAGTCACTATACTCAGTGATGATGTTGTTCATATTATGACATCTTCCTATACTTTCCAACGTTGAACTTGGGCTGTAATGAAGCTTAACGAGCATGTCCCTGGTTAATTACCACAATTAGCTAGAATGGCCCAAGTTTTATATTTGATCCTCCTGGAAGAATTAAAGAGTTCTTGAACCTGCCAAAATCTTTATGATCCAATGATTTAATTTTGTTTCTCTCTCAATCTGAAACCTATATTTGCACTATTATCCTATGTGTCATTGCCTCATCGTAAGAGTGATTACCCAAAAAAATACCAACGAGATAAAAAATGATATACAGCATTAGATGGATCAAATTTAAGAGTCATGATGAAATTAAATTGCCACAAAAATGTGCCATAAAATATATCTGAACAAGAATGGCCCTGGTATTAGCAATTTTGTACGATATTATTATCCATTTTTTTTCTTTTTCTTTTTTTTACTTAAGCTCTTGATGAAATTTAGAGTTCAGATAATTGGAACGAATAAGAGCAATAATAAAAGTTGAAAAATTGAAGCAAGAGAGGATCTAATGATTTGTGTGTGTGTGTGCTTAGAAAGGGGTATGTTAAACCTTGACAAAGAGCAGATTCAGGCAACCTTAGTCATTGATCCACTGCACATTTTTGCATAAAAATGTTGCATTTTAAATATATGGATCTCTTCATCTTAAAAATCTGCATAATTCTTGAACTTTGCTATCTCAATCATTAAAGTGGCTGCTTTAATTGACTGTAGGAGTTAATCTGACGTAACTTGCCCCAGTGGCGCGCCAGGAAAAAAAAAAATATGTGTGCACATTTAAGGTGGGGGTTGGGGAGCGCCCTCGGAGATTTTTTTTAAGAAAAATTTTAAATGTATTAATTGTAGGGGGTTAATTGATCAAAAACCAACCTCTATCGATGTCTATTTGATTCAAAATTGGCCACTTTTGCTTCACAAAAAAATGTGAAAAATCTTATGCGATTCTCCTCCACTTGATGAAGATTGAATTTCAAAAATCATTGATGTCCATTAAGATTTGGAACTAATACGGTTTATGTTAAAAAAAGAAGAAGAAGAGACAAAGGAATGGGGTAGGATTTAAATTTAAGCTTTTAATTATATGGATTGTTGAGTTGAGCTTGGGTCTATTTTTACTTTTTTTTATCAATATTCTTAAAAAAAAATTTTACTTGACCTAGATCACTTACTCTTTTAAAAAAAATTCTCAATTTTTTGTAGTCAACAACACCGTACGCCTCTGACTTGCCCCAATACAGTGGTGCAATTCCATAAAAAATGTACCCAATAGATATGACACGTAATAAGCTTTAATTGTCATAGTGTTATATTGGGGTAAGATGTTGTAACAACTTATTAGTGTTATTATCGATGTTACTACCAATTAATTTTATCGTTAGATCAATTATGTTAATTCAACGGTTATATTTATTTTCATCTTTGTATGGTTTTGATTTCTTATATTTAATGTGAAAGTACTAAATATGGATAATCATAATCATACAAAGGTAAAAATAAATATAAAATATTAAATATGAGTAATCATAACCATACAAAAATAAAAATAAATATAACTATTATATCAACATAATTGATCTAATAATAAAATTGATTGGTAGTAACACTAATTGGTTGTTATATTAGGCAATAACATTATTTTACCCAATTTCTTTCAAATATTGCATTCAATTCATGAGTACCGGTGACAATGTGAGATGCACAAGAAAAAAAAGAAAAAAAATCTTTCTTCTTAATATTTTGTTTACTCGTAAAGTAGTAAATAAATGAGGGTTTCAAAACCCAGATAAGAAGCATGTATTTGGGTATGCCTTCAATTCAAGTTTCAAGACATGTTTATGAAGAAAAGTATTCTGTTCCAAGATCCTTATTCTGTTGACAAAAGCACCAATCTATATCTTCAACACAAGTTTTTTGTCTTTTTGATTGATTCTATCTCAAGAAATTCACACAGCCAGAGTTTGAGAATTTGAAGCATTCTACACCAAAAGTGCTCCCTTAAACGAAGGTAGTGGCTCGAGATCAGAATAGCCACTTGCACCTACATTGTATGCTGGTCAAATCCTGAAATGCTGCAGAGGAGAATTACCATTCCTACATTTTGTGTTGAAATGGGCTAGAAGATCTGGAATTGAAGTTTCTCTGAATTTTGCAGGATTATCTTCAGACAATAGTTCCTTGATGGGGCCATAAATCCTTGATGATGCATGAGGACCTGTGCTAAAAAAGCATGCAACAGAGACTCTTGGACCTACAAGATTTGCCTGTACTCTGTGTTGAGCACTCTTGAATTTGTCATTCGATATAAGCTGGCATTCAAGAATTTTTGGAAATTAGCCATATTGATGAAGGATCATATATATTTAATAAGATGAGAGAAGACAAAGTGATAAATTTAATCAAATCTTTTCTGCATTGTTGAAGGCTATGCATTATTGTGACCACTATTATCCTTTGTGTTCATTCATTGGTTTTTCTTCTATCCCCTTTTGGCAAAATGTACAAACCCTAGACTTCTACCCTTCTCATGTCAGCTAAGCCCAAATGTCAAGGTACAATGTTGATAAAGGGCAAATGGGCAAATCTTGGTGCACAAGATTTCCCAACTTATAAGATAGGAATGAGGGTTAATTATATGTCATCTTACCCTTACGTACTTTGCAAAAACGCTATTTCAGCGACTCGAACCCATGACCTTCCGGTCATATGGAACAACCTTACTCCCATGTTGATGATACAATTAAATCATTTCCTCATTAGAAATGATTATCTAGAAGCATGCAAACAAATATACATTGTTAATAAAATAATCAAATTCATTTTGCATGGGAACTTTCTTAATAAACAGGATATATTGTATAAGTTCATATTAAAAAGAACTAAATAAACATGCAATAAGTGCTGATATTCACTAGCATGAAGAGAAAGACAAAAACATACCTGCAGAAAATCACCAATGTTAACAACCAGGGCCCCAGGTAGAGGAGGCAAGTCAATCCACATGTCCTGATGAAGAACTTGGAGGCCACCTATGTGGTCTTGTAGAAGCACTGTGATGAAATCTATATCAGCATGCTTCATGGTTCCCAAAGTTAATTCTGGTTCAGGACAGGCAGGATAGTAATGGCCAAAAGTTTGTAACCCCTCAGTGCAACCAATATCTATTAAGTGAGTTGGATTCAGACCAAGAGCTTCTGATAATAACTCAAACAACAAAGTCCCCAATTCCATTATTTGATTTGAGTATTCCACCAGTATGTGTCTACAAAACAAATTATGCAAGCAAGTAGTTCATCATTTGGCTTAAAGAGAGGAAAGAACCAAGCATTTCAAAGCTAAACCATCACAACCAAAAAGTGCAGCATAACAAAGTAAAATATTGTACTTTTCTTCTTCCATATGTTTGCTTTGATTTGGCTTTGGTAGTTTTTCACCTGATTTCACCTTATAACACCTTCATTTGTATTGCTATTTTGAATTTTATGCAACTGATGATAGTTTGCATGCTAGGTTGTTTACAGAAACTTTAAGAAATAATTCTGAAAATAAAGGAATGGAAACACAATTCACAGCCTAATATACTACTTAAACGGTCCAAGTATATTATCATGAAACCTTGGTTTAAGGTAATCTGGTAATCTAACACAAGCAACAATTGCATTTTTGTTCTGTTGGGAAATACCATATCTTGTTAATTTAACGTGACATATCTTCATATATTACAAATCTGAATTTATCACTAATATAGGAAACTACGATAATTATCAAATTAGAAATTTGGGTTAAACCCAAGAGTTGTTATTCTAGTGGTATCCTAGCTAGACGTTAGGATTTAATCTATCCAAAGGGTAAATAGGTTCGATTTCTGAGAATCGCAACTCCCGATAAGGGTGGAGAGACTCAAACCTAAAACCGAATTAGTTGGATCCGTTAAGGTTTCGAACCTGGTTGGTATCTACCAAAAAAACAAAAAACAAAAAAGAAATTTGGATCAAAACCAACATTTTTCTTGTGTAATTTAGTAACTCATTATTATAACTTGAACCTAGACCATAAATTACACTACTATGAACACTGAAAGACAAATTACTTGAGCTGGAAGACATAAATTGAAGCAGCACATACCCACATACAGCTGGCAAGTCTTCTGGCTTAGGGGCATTAGGAGCCATGTTGCACAAGAAAGAATCCTTCCAAGTAGTTCCTGAGCTAAACAATATAAAACTACTATTGTTCATAAAGGGCCTTCTCTCACTAGTATAAAATTCCTTCTTGACCTCAGTGTCTTGCTCAAAAAACCTTAGCACCCCATCTTTCATTTCCTTCAGAGAACTAATTGGGATGCCATGATTGATAACCTGAAAGAAACCCCATGTCTCAGATGCATCTTTCACTCTCTCAACAACCCTTTTGCGTGCACTTGGATCTTCATAAATGTTTGCAAGATCTATAACAGGAATAGTATATTCTTTGTACCCCAAATCTGAGGCCTTTTTGAAGTTATCAGGTGGATGATAGAATATACGAGGGATCTTGGTAACCCCTGCATCAACAAGTCCTATAACACCAGCTTTTGTGTCATTAAAAGATTTAAGCTCCTTTGCTCTTTCAGAATCTGACATGACTTTCTCTTCATTTTCACTCGTACTAGTGACCCCCATTTTCCTTCTCTTTGCAAATCAAATCGAAGCCAATGTGGTGGTATAGGTGGTATATGAAATTATGAATTGAGAAGGAAGTGATGAAGATTAAGTGTTTACTAGCATCTTTAACATCGCTTGAAGGTCAACTTACTTTAAATATTATACCTCATTTGCTTCTTCCCATATAAGATTTAAGTTAAACAAATTGTCCACCTTAGTCATTGCCATTTGTCACTCTCTCAATATTATAGTCACATTGTCTTCCTCATTCTTTTATCTCCAAGGAGTTGATAACTTGAGGTATGAATCATAGTTCTAATATTTTAAAAGAAATTTTATATATTCCGTGCTCCAGATACTAGAAAAAATATCTGAACAAAAATTGTCTATAAGAATAGATACGAAATTATATATCAAAACTGTCTATAAGCGTTTGCAATTTTTGTAATAACAATGTATGCGATCCTTGAGTAGAATACCATTATAAATAACTTAAGATGATTAGTCAACCCCCTTAAATTATTTTATATTATAGACGGACGTCAACTTGAAAAGAAATTGGCTCTGCGAACATTTTCAAATTTGATGATTTCAGCGTGGAAGAAAACACAAAGAAAGTTGTCCTCATGAATATCTGTATTAACTATTCCGTTTACTTTGTGTCCAATGTTATTAAATAAGTAATAATAGTTACATACATATTAAAATCATAAAATTATAAAAAAAAATGTTAATATGCAACTTTTTTTTTTTGGGTAATTTGTTAATATGCAATTTATATTGGGACATGATCGTCTTTCACCGTAATAATAATTTTTAATAAATTATAATAATAGATGCACATCGATCAATAATTAAATATAAATTTTTTTATTTTTTATCTTGTCCCATTTTTATTATATAATATATAATTTAAAAAAATACTTAAGTAAATCACATAAATATTACTTAACTTTATAAATATTTTTACCAAAAGAAAAAGACTTTTTATAAATAAATTGTGTTTTAAAAAAGAAAGAAAGAAACATTCAAAGGCAAAAAAATTTAATTATTGTATTTTAATTAAATAATTACGCATTTATTGCAGTTTCGGGAATAATTACGAATTTATTGCACACTGTGACGCCCAAAATGGGCATCACATGTGACGCCCCAGTGAGGCGTCTCACCCTAACGGGAAGACGCCTCAATGGGGCGTTTTTCATCTGGTGTTGACACGTGTCATACTTTTTTCCAAAAAAATAATAATTTAATCATAAAACTTCTGAAGGCCATAACTTTTGACTCGGGTATCCAAATCAGGTAATTCTTTTTTTGATTCCACATAACTTTTCGAGATCTACGCAATGACATCTCATTTGATATATTTTATTTCTCACAAACATAATTTAAAATTGCCTCCCATATATAGTGTTTGTAGTCTTTTCATAGTAGTCTTTTCATTTGCAAGGATTAGTGAATAAAAATTTGTGATTCGAATTGCATAAATGACAAAAAGGAATTTAAGAAAAAAGAGAATAAAACCGAAACCCTAATTCTACGAAATAGTGTAGACTGAGATGACGTCGTCTTGTGGCGAAAATCATGGTGTATTTTTAATTCTAATTTAAGTCAGCTATACAAAAACACCATGAATACAAATGAATAGTTGTATAGAAATGAATAAGGCAGCTATACAAAATTACAAAATACAAATACCAACGTTATGATTCAAATCTAAACTTAAATGTAAATAATAACTGATGATTCAAATCTAAACATAAATGCAAATAGTAATGTCATTCTATAATTCAAATGCCGATATGATTCTATTCAGATCCTAGTCAAATGAGAAATAAAATTGTGTTTGTGATAAATAAAATATGCCAAATAAGATGTCATTGCGTAGATCTCAAAAAGTTATGTGGAATCAAAAAAAAATTACCTGATTTAGATACCCGAGTCAAAAATTATGGTTTTCAGAAGTTTTATAATTAAATTATTATTTTTTTGGAAAAAAATATGACACGTGTCAACACCAGATGAAAAACGCCCCATTGAGGCGTCTTCCCCTTAAGGTGAGACGCCTCGCTGGGGCGTCACATGTGACCGCTCATTTTGGGCGTCACATTGTGTAATAAATTCATAATTATTCCCAAAACTACAATAAATACGTAATTATTTAATTAAAATACATTAAATTAATTTTTTTTGCCAACATTCAAAATATCTGAACAGAACATAACACAACACTCCACCTTTCAAGTCTCTGTTCACCGATGAATGCAACATCCGTTGTTATTACTCAACAGTATCCTTACACCAAAAAGATTCCAACTTTGATTCCCAATCCGTGATTTCAACAATACCCAGAAACATTTTTAACTCAATCCCTTCAAAATAACACCCACCTCAGAATTTTGGGCTTAATCTCCAAACTGGGTTTCTGGTGAAGCCATGAATTTCAGAAGCTTAGAAGATTTCTGGGTTTTTTACATGAACCAGCACACGAAGCCATGCACAAGGCGATGGCACTTCATAGGAACACTTTTCAGCATTATCTTGTTGCTATGCTCTGTTCTCTTAAGCTGGTGGTTCTTGTTCCTTGTACCTTTCTCTGGGTATGAATGTGCCATATATAGTCACTTGTTTGTTGAAGGGAATTTTCCTTCAACTTTTAGATACCCCTTTTGGTCTGTCTTATGTAATTTCAAGATGTTTGGGTTTATGATCACTGGGAATATGGATAGAGAGATCAAAAGGCTTGGGAAGAGACCTGTGCTGCAAATGTTCTGATTTTTATGAAAGCTTTCTCCATGTAGTTTCAGTTAAGTTTTTTTTTTTTTTTTTTAAATATCTGTATCTGAAATTTTTTGTGTATTTTTTGAAAATAGTTTTTGTAGTTTTAATCACTTTTTTGGGTAAGAATGATTTTGCTAAAATAATATAGCTGAATGAGTGAGCTCAATGTGTGTGTGTGATACTGCAGCTTGAGCTTCAGCTTGAGCTTGATGGATTGAATGATTTTGGTAAGACATCAGATGAATGTGATTTTTTTATTATTTTTTTGTTGCATAGTTAGATGAATGTGATTTAATTTTGTCATACTTTAACATCTCGTATTTTAATTACAAGCTTATTTACAAGTACTTTTACTCTCTTTTTTTGTTTAAAAAATTATTATAATACTAATGGTTAATCATTTATTATTATGATTTTCTATGATTGCATATCATTTATTTAGTTGTGGTAAATAAATTATAAATGATTTTAATAGTTAAGAATTTAATTATTTTAGTTGTATTTAATATTTTATTCATAAACTTAAAAATTGTGATTTTTTTTAAAAATCCTAAAAAGAATTCAACTTTTCTCGATTTAGTTGTATTAGTATTGGAGATTGTGAATGTACTGTTCCATAGATTTCAAATGATTTTACTGAAATCGTCTTTCTTGTTCTTCAAAAATATTGAATTGACTATAGCATACATTTAAATGGGTTAATGCTGAGACAATTTTATTTTTTATGCATATATACAAGTATAAGGCCAATATAAAAAGAAGAGAAAAGAAAAATATGGTCTCACAATATTTTTATCTATGTATAGAAGATAAAATTTATCTATAATATAAAAAATATTAATCACAAACTTAAAATGTGTAAATAGATTTTCGAGATAGATACATTCGTTGAACTCATATTCAATTTATGCCTTATCCAAGAAAGAAAAAAAATGAAAAAATCAATCTATACCAGAAATATTTTTTTATGTACCGGACATGCCCCAATTGTCCTTCTAAGTATAAAATACATTAATTTTAAAATATTTTCATATTACAAATATAATATAAAATTTATATAAGTGGCAGGTTTTTTTATCTTTTATAATATAAAATATAATATAAAACTTATGTCATTTTACTCTCACAAAAAGATGGAACTCATACTTTTATATTTTTTTGTCCATTCTCTCTTTTCCTTTATCTATCTCTTTCTCTCACTTAAAATGATACACATTTTTTCAAAGTTTAATCAAGCGTAATTTTTTAAAGTCTCTTATAATATAATAAAAGATTAAATATAATGAATAATAAAAAAAGAAAAGATAAAAGCTCCCAACAAAATTTTTTTCTAAGATATATCACAGCTTTTTCTGAGTCCTTATATTTTATTTTTTTTCAATTATGTCTTATTCTAAAATTGTATTTACAAATTTTATTCTCCACCCCAATGACAAATTATTTGATCCCCTCCTCTACTTGAAGAATTTTGGTGCTCAAGGAGCACCATTGATTCAGTTGTTCAAACCAATTAAAATTGGACAATGAAAGAAGAGGAGAGAAGAAAATTATTATTTTTATCCAAGTATCAACCCCTTAATGAAAAGAACACATAGACCTAGATCACTGAAAATTTTTCCCTCCTCTACTCTCCAATCACCAAGAAAATTTATTCATTCTTGGATATATGTTTTCTTTTAAAATCTTAATCTTTAAAAAAATTTATCTTTTATTTCTTATTATATTTGTGCTTATCTAAATGATAGAGGTTTATAAAACACTCTTAATGATAATTTTAATTAAAAATATAACTTATGAACTAAGTTTACGAAACAATTTATTTTTAACTTGAGCTTTAAATTAATTTTTAAGTTTAAAAATTATATAACAATAAATAATTTTTAACTTTACTTTTTAAGCTCTTATTTTTAGCTTTATCTAAAAAATAGATTTAACTTAAAAAAACCCTGTTAAACAGACTATTAAAATTTAATAATTATGTATCTTAATTTTATTTTATTTATTTGTGTTAATATTTTAATGAACCTCTTATATAGTGTTTACCATACAATAAACGATAGTAATAATAATTGACATGTGTCAGTGATGTCAGATTTTCATGTATAAAGATAAGATTTCTCTATAAAATTTTGCACGTTGAATTGAAAAATATGACGCAACTTAAAATTTCAATGGGTGAAATATGTTAAAGGCAGCACAATTCAAAATATGGATAAAATCTCTATAAATTGAGTTTATCTATAAAATGTACAGGTGAAAGTGTATATATTCTTAATTTAAGATGAAAAATATAATGATCATAAAGTATATATCACGATCTTAACCAATTAAAATTTAAGATTTCAAAGACAATCTTATTATAAAATATGTAATGTAATATTTATTCATGTTTTTAATAATATTTTTTATTATCCAAATTTATATTTTTTATTTATATATACAGAATATGATTTTTTTTATAAGAATTTTATTTAATTATAAATTATCTTATTTTATTTGAGTTGTTCGAATGGTATAATTATTGACATTGATAAACAGTCAATCCAATTTGACTATAATTCAATTCATGAAATCATAAGAGTCCAAAGTACATATTGTTCTTGATAAAACAATTGGTTAGTGAATATGATTGCCACGAGATGTCACCATGCAGTTTCACTCACATATGGAGGGAGAGCTTCTGTGATCGGGTCCAATCAAACACTAGCCCATGACATGATTTTCCTTCAGAGTTTCAATTTTTAATGGGTTAATGTTTCTAGTATTTGATGATTTGAAGATGGTCTCAAATTATTCGGTGACCTCCATGCAGCTCTTGCTACAACTTGAGAGAGCGAAGCAAAATATTGGCAAGCAGGAGGTAACAATGTTTCTAAGTTAAAACTCAAAATAATCTCTAATTATTATAAGGGTTATGCTTATCTTATTTTACATGAAATAAACAATTCTCCTACACACACAAAAAGAGATTGGGTCTCATCACTCTTTTTTCTCTCCCCTCTTACATGTGGGTCCCACTTATACTTTTATTTCTACAACATAAAATAATTTTTCCTACAACATAAGAAAAATATATCCCTTATTATAAATATATATTCCTTGTTATAAAGATGCCAAAGAAATATTTAGTTCAATAAAACTTTTCAGTATTAGATTACACTACACTACAAGATCAAGGGCAAAATCCCGATATCCAGATCTCATTCACTGTGTTGCAGTCTCCATCTCTGAACAAAACCTAAACTTAATTTAATTGAACAAAAATACTTTAGCTTATCAAATATCTGCTTTAACTACGTGATCAAAGCCCACCGCAGCACCAAGGCATACACAGTACTAGATTCTACCCAATTTGACATAAAAAATATTCACATTTTCTTGAACTCACTCATTGATGGCTTGGCATGAAACAAAGTAATCATCACTAATCTGTGTTCCTCGAAAATGATGGCAATGGCACTGAGCCTTGTGGCCGAAGGATGACAAGCACGCCAAACATCCCAAGCATTGGAAGAACAAGTAACCACTTCAACAATTTATAGTAGTGCATATGGAATGTAAGGGAGAAATCATCAGAGAAATATAGTCCATTCCTGTCAACCATCTCAACCAAAACCGTTCCAGTGGTCCTTACTCCCACAGTTGGCAGCTTAATACGTTGTTTACCAGGTTGATAATAGGTGTGGTTCTGTTTTATCGTTCTCTCTCCTTGGTAATTACCAGGAACTAGCAAGGTAATCTGATGAATTTACATAGCATGAAAAGGAAATGACACTTAAACTGAGTGCTTGCCAGAGAAACAGTAATATGAAGAACTAAATTAATTTGGTTGAGAACTTACAGTGACATTGTATGGTCCTTGATACCCAGATGGGTATCTGTAATTATCTACAATCTCAATTTCCACCCAAAAGCTCTTGCCTTCCTCATCACGGAATGCCCTGGAAGGATGAGTAATATAGATACCTTCACGACTGTGCCGATTTGCAACATTATTTCTTCCTTGATTAGGCAATCTCCATGCCTGAAACATGGTATAAAGCAATTGAGTAACAAAAATGAAACAGTTTCAATGATCAAATTTCTAACATATCTTGCCTTAAGGGGATGATGAGGAGAGGGAGTTGAAAAGCAAAAGACATTTCCATTCATAGTTGTGACAACTAGATCAAGATCATCCCCACCATCAACATTGTCTGCCAAAACCATGCTATATCTGTACAAAAATTTAAAAATAAAAAAAATTGATTCACTTATACAACTTCTGGAAAATAGGACAGAAAGCAAATCCATGACACACAGCTTAAAGAATCTCTTACGAAGTTTCACCAATGTCAACAACATCAGCACAGCCTGTAGGTCCATCAATGAGGTACAAATAACCGTCAAATGAAGTGGTAACAATAGTCAATCCCTTCTTTTTCTCCTTATGTTTACTTAAATCAACTATAAGAACTTGATTCATCACTCTTCCATGAGTTTGATATGGATACCGCCCAATAGATGACCCATCCCTGCCATCAAGAACATGAATCTTCCCAGATATGGTTGGCACAATGAGCTCAGTATGGCCATCCCCGTCAACATCACCAACAGTTGGACCCTGAGGAAAATAAATATAAGTAATATTGTCAATCAAATTTCAATCTTGATAAACACCTTTGGATGCCCAAAGCTCCATTTAAGGCCAAGTCTAGCTCCATAGCTTCCAAGTTACCTCACAATGAAAAAAGTTATGCTCATTTCTTTTAGAACTTACATGGCACATAACAAATATCAGGGGAAAGAACCTTCCAAGGCCTATGCAACTATAACATTCATTAGTGCTACTCCATAGCTTCCTAAGTTACCTCACAATCCAACATGAGATTTCTATTTTATTTTTTTTAGTACAAACATGAGATTTCTATTTGCTTAATAAATTTTATGCCACAATGCACTTACTAGATATCAGGAGAAAGGGCCTCATGAGACCAGTGCACCTACAACAAATCACTAGTGCTAATCCTAGAGTAATAAAGTTTAAAAAAAATCCTTTCCATAGAAGGAGCTTTAACCTTTTAAAAAGAATTAGTCAAATATGGTTTTTGAGGAGGATTATAAATAAGAAAAGAATTACAGCCCATGTACCAGTATAAAGAGCAGTATATCAGGGTCAGGAAAACAAGCTCACTCTCCTCGGGAAGTCATACGGTGAGGAGAGGGAGCGATAGGGTAGCTACTCCGGCCGGACTACTTACTTAGGGGTGAACACTGCCGTACTACAAAAAGGGAGGCAGCGGAACACCCAAAGTAAGACAAACAAGCCCACGACTGAAGGGAGAGGGATCCTCGGGAAGTGAGGGACCGTACTCGTCTTAGAGCTATTTCGACTTATTCAATTGAAAAAAGAGCACTTCCTTATCTTACCTAATCAAACCTGATTAGCCGCATCGGGAAATCTAGGGGTTTATCGGTCAAGGTATTCAATCTCTTTTTTCGGAGTTTTCCAGGTTAAGTTAGGAGGGCTAAGGACAGGGAGAAAGAACGGCCAGGGGAAGAAGGAAGGTTGGATAAGTGTATGGAAAAGGGACATCGTTCTTTCTAGTGTACTCGCCGGAGACGGGCTGTCGAAGCCGCTGATGCTTGACAGCGCCTCAAAACCCCCGGAATGCCCTGGAGGGGACCTTTGGTAAGAACATCACCAAAATGTGGCGTTTCCAACACTGACTTTGAGGGGCGCATGGAGCACCACCAACTCTATCAACCTCTTTTCTTAGACGATAGGTGAGACTGAATTTTAGATTCATAAACAAACTTACCCGTTGAAGCACAGGAGCGAAATGGATAGAATTCATTAACTATCATACGACGCGATGGGACTCAAGCTGGGGTGCCCTTACGTTACGGCGTTTAGCTGCTTATTAAGCAACCTGTTTTCGATATCTCCCACTACTGTAACTGCTTGCTTGACTGCATTACCGGATTACCTTTCCTGCTTTCCTTTATCAGTTAGGCAGCAAACGAAAGAAAGGCAGTGCAGGTTGGTGAGAGATCCAACTACTAAGGAACAAGTAGAATATTATGAATTTACATTGCTCCAATCTATCACATTCCACTTCAGCTGAATATTCATTCTAATAAAGATCCGCTTCCTATTCTTTCTTCTCTTCATTCAAAGGGAAATCGGAGGAGTTAGAGTAGGGAACAATGGGCATTCCCGCCTGGAAAACAAAGAGTAGAGTGACCTGAAGGACCTCTAGAAACCTAGCTGTTAGAGTTGCATATTAGCCCCAAATGCAACTTCATCCCGGGTAGTTGAACCCTTATTCTGCAAGGTATAGAACAACTAAGGGTACTGGTCCTGCTCGCTTTGGTTCTGCTTCTGTGGTGACCAAGGCAGGAAGGAATCAGTCTTAACTACGCCCAAAGGCTAGCGATGTCACCTCCGGGTAGGAGTTCCATTCAAGAAGATGGATCCGATTCGGCATGCTGCATAGGGGCACCACTCCTAGGCAGCGGGAGTTCCGAAACAGGCAGTACTTGCCTCGGATAATCCCAGTTGAAGCCTTCTCGTGTTTATATCACTCTGCGTTAGCCACGGTAGCAAGCGGATTTCGGCGTAACTCCCCGGTAACTGCCTAAGTTCCCGGTCCTTTATTCGTTCTATAGGAGCCATCCCGATCTCATCTACCTAGAGAATCGCCATAGTATTAGGCGATTATGAACCTCACCCCGTGCGGGATGACCAGATATAAACTTTCTTCAACCACTTACGATATAACAACCATAGGCAGCTCACTATCCTCGGGGGAGGAGAGGGAGCGTAGGCTATCAGTAGTGTGTTGCTCTTAATCAGGGGATGTAACTGAGTGGGCCCCGGAGGGGAATGGGTGGGTTAGGAAAACAAGTGAATGCTCCTCGGGAAGTCATACGGTGAGGAGCATGAACGATAGCGTAGCTACTCCGGCCGGACTACTTACTTAGGGGTGAACGCTGCCGGAGTAATATAAGGGAGCCAGAGTGCCAATAGAACAAATCAGAAGTCTCTCAATCATAAAAAATCTTGAAGTAGAAATTTTAAGAAAAAAGGTATAAAAGGAGAGAAAGAGAGATGGGAGAGTCCTGAAAGGTATAAAAGGACTGTTCAAAAATCTCAACAACATAGGCACAGCTGATATAAAACTCAAATGATGAAATAAAATAAAAAAAACATTAAACATAAAAAATGGTTTTTTTTCTTAAAAAAAAGTTCAAGACTTACAGTCTTTTACCCAAACCAACCCTTCTTTAGCACTTGTAGATTTTAACTATTAACAAGTTGCTCCAAAGGAAGTCAACCAAATCTTACACTGGAGTACTTACATCACTTACCTCTACATTCTTTTCTCTTCCTTTCTTCTCTAAAAGTCACATGTTCTTCCCCTTCACCGGTATAATTACAGTCTACCTCTATTCTATAATTATCCCATCAACCCAAACCAATATGAAAATTCCGTACCATAGATAATGATTACTCCAGAACCAAGATTCAGTACTGAAAACACATTATGCATGCAACCATGCTACATTCATTGACATGCTAAGGAAGATTCAGATAGCAAGTTACCTGTGGAATAAGACTCTTGAGATGCTTTTCCCATATCAAATCTCCTTTTGGAGTCCATACAGCAACATTTCCATGTGTATCAGCAGTAACTAGCTCAATTTTCCCATCATCATTAACATCGGCTGCAACCACAGCTCCTTGAATCTCGGCCATTTCAAGAGGGAATTTCATTCTAACCTTACCTATTTGAGAGAAAAACTATTAGAATTAATTAATCCAGGTATAAATTATAACCAAAACCCTTTTGATTCCAAAGCTTGAGTTTTGACTAATAAATAAGGACACAGCTAAAAGAATAAGTTGCAATGCATGAAATTTAAAATAAACCATATTTAACAGTCTCTAATTTTAAGTTATCAGAGCAAAACATGTCCAACCTTGCAATGCTAGACATCATGAAACTGCAATAAAACAAGGCAGAAAGAGGTGAAGAAAAGGTTTCTAGAAATTAGACATGGCAGATAAGGGACGAACAAAGAAATGATTCTACTAAAAACGTTTACAAAGGAAATACAATAACATTAACATCAATAACCAATAATAAACTAAAATCCAAGAGAAAATCAATGAAGACAACAAAGAATCATGAACAAACATTTTTAAATCAAGTTATGAAAATACTAGGGAAGCAGTCTCCAAAAATTACCATGATGATCCAACACATAGAACAGGCCATAAGAAGTTCCAACAAGAATGTCCAAATTCCCATCACCATCCAAATCTACAACAGTAGGAGAAGAATATATGTAGGCTCGGAAGTTTGAAGTATCAGTACTCAGATCAAGTTCTGCAGTCCACTTAACTTGTTTTGTATCCAGATTAAAAACAACAATAGCACCAGCAACATATTTCCCAATGTCAATATCACCCAGTTCTTTCATATGCTCCTGGTTGTCATAATACCTGTCAGCTTAAAAGGTGTCTAATTACTGACAGACCAATAAATCAACAAACGGCTGTTTGTAGGTGCAGATTATACTCTGATATAAGAAAACTAATTATCTAATTCTTCAATCAATGTCAGAAATCGTATTCCATTGGTTGCTATGGCAACAGTAAAAAATATTATCGCTCCAAAAGCATCTCAAAAACTTGTTTAATAAAAATAAGAACATACATTCCTAGTCTGCCAGCCTAATATATGAAGCACAAAGATGATTGAACGAATTTAACTTAAATAAAATAGTAAGCCGGATTGATAACTCTCAATAATTTATGTAGTCCCACCAATTTGCTAGTCATGTATGTTATAAATACATGCGATAAAATAAGCCAAAAAGAATTTCCCATAAATAAATAAATAAGAAGCCAAAAAGAAAAAAAGTACAAAGCTTCATTGGCATTCATTCTACAGAAAGTATGACTAACATCATTGTCTGGTAACACATTACAGATTGTGCCATCCATAAGTAAGACTAAAGCGTGTAGGGAGCTTTCATCCTTTTCTTGATAGAAATTGTGCCATCCACAATAAAGATTGCCCATCCATACAGATTGGGTTGAAGTAATTTATACTAGATCTCTTTGTCTATAAGTAAGACTAAAGTGTGTAGGGAGCTTTCATCTATTCTTAATTTGCCATCTTCATTTCACAATGATACACATTTAGGGCCTCGTAGGTGTCAAAAGAATTAAGCTTTCTGAACAATTCACAAAGTATTATAACCAACTAAAGAACTATTAGGATTACAGTTCATCTTCCTATAGTATAAAAAAAAAACTGCTAACCGGGGATGCACATATTGAATGACAACAGAAAAGCTGTACGGCTAGCAACCTATTTATTTAACTATGAATTCCATGCACATAACTTTAGCAACAAAGAAAGCAAATAAAGGTATACTTAAGTTTGAAAATCAAGTGTAAGCGTGGACTCACTCATGGTCAAAGAAATAAGAAACGGCAACAACCATTTCTGATACACCATCATTGTCAATATCAGCAATGACCTGGCAAAGGCAAGAAAAAGAATACATTGAAAAGCCATTGTTTTGTTTTTACTTTTTTCTAGGACTTGCAGAATACAAAACTAATAAATTTTATATTAATAAAAAGGTAAAGCAGGAACTCACAGGAGTGCACAAGATGTGTGAGTCAACAAGGACATAATCCTCTAGTTTCTCATGTTTAACTTCAGTCCATTCTTCATCACCCCACATTGATTCATCAACATAATCATCATAATCATAGCTATACTCATCAGCCAGTTCATCACTATTGCGGAATAACTCAAAAGACGAATCAGCATCTGCTTCCAGGCCTTCATCATTTTCCACAGTTGCAGCATGCATACCCTCATTATCTTTGGATTCAGAAGCACCTTGCTCTGCTCCTTTTGAGTTGTTATCTTCCAGCAGACGTCTTCCAGTGCTGGTGTTATTATCTGCATTAACAGTTTCCACAGACCCAGCATTCGCGGAGGAATTATCAGCAATTGTTGGCATCTTAATATTCTCCTCTATTTGACTTCCATTTATTTTCTTTTCAGGCTCTGGATTAGACACATTTTTTGTGCCAAGGTGACTTTCTGTTGATGTGGCAGCTGTAGAGTTGACTCCGTGTGTACTTGCATTCATTTCTACAAGGAGAATCATTACCCGAAGATAAAGTTAAATCAATGTACACTTCACAATAACAAAATGGTTGAACCCTCTGCTTTAATAGGAAGATAATGAAAGTATGAGGATCTCTAATACATACACAATTATGGTCCAAGCAGTAAGCACAGCAGAAACTTACGAGAGAGAGAATTCATGACAGTAGCTTCTTGGACAATTTGGTCATCATGAACATCCGGATGGGAACGATCCACTGGGTCAGAATTCAAGCCCACAAACCAATTTTTTAGCACTCTCCTACGTGGGACCTCCAGCTTATCTGACATCATATAGCCGGATACCCTAAAAATAACTTATTATAACCTTGATAAATATACCTCAAGCAATGGCTAATTTGTAAATGGAAGCAAAATTTGGAAAATATGGAGGAAAAAAAAGTCACCTGAAAAACAGCACTTCACCATTGTAGGTCGCCAAAGCTATTTCTCTTACCCCATCTTTGTCTATGTCATATAGAAGAGGAGTAGAATGCACAGTTGATTGGTGGAAAGCAGGCCAGCCTAAGAAACCATTCAGAAGACTCAAATCAAACATCGGTAATCAATCGCAACAAGGATAAGCCTTGTTCCTAAGCATTTGCAATCAGTTTGATATGTCTGAAAAAAGCATTTGCATTGATCCTCATCAGTATTCCACTCCCGACCAACCCAAATCAATTTGAATTGTTTTTTTATTTTCATTACCAGGTGCAACACTACCCATATTGCTATGTCCTACTGTTTTGTCGAACTTTATATAGCTAGTATCAAGCCAGGATAAAAAAAGAGGGTTGTTTCAAGCAATTGGCAACCAACATAAAACTTTGTCAAATCTTTAATAACATGAATCAACAATACCACAGTGCTACTGGTAGATCAATTACCCATGTTTACTGTGCAGCTTGAGAACAGTGTTAAATGAGCTAGACCCAATACATCAGCTCCTAGAAATGGTACAAAATAGGCATGGGACAATAGCTGTGATTATGATAAAAATTCCAGACACATTTGGGATAAATAACTGCTTTTAAATAATTTGCTACTCTCTGCAATATTGACTTGTTAATATGCCTTGGATTGATGGTGATTGTGTGTTTAGACCATGACTTTTGATTATAAATTATGAATGTCTTTAATGTTGGGCAAATTTTTTGTTTTGGAGCATTTATATGTGTATAGCATAAATTATTTATCTTGTATCTATAAAATTCAGAATAGTGGTCATCCTGCTCTAATTTTTTTGGTGTCAGCCACTCCGCACTGCTAAGCATACCTCCATGTTATCAGATATAAACAAACCTTAATTTAGCTACAACAAAATCATTATAGAAATAAACATAAACAGGGGAAGGAATACATATCTTATGCTTGATACATGAGGCAAGATCAAGCATACCACTGATGCAAAGCCTACCACGATAAGAAAACATTAGCATCCAATGATCTTTTACCTGGCATTTTGTCCCCATCAGCACCTTCCAGAACTTCAAGGTAGTGAACAAAAGAGGGGACCACTATCTCGAGCTTCCCATCACTGCGAAATAAAAAAAACATGCAAGTCAACCAGTCTTCAATCACCAGTACAAACTAATAGAAGAAAATGAAAATCACTAACAAATTGGGTTAAACGAACAAATCAATGTATAAGCAGAGTTCATAAAAGCTGACCTGTTAATATCAGCAATCAAAGGGGTTGCATAGATGCTGGAACTAACTTCCGTTTGCCATCTTAGCTCCAAATTCTTAGGGCATTTTGAATTAACTAGAGCATCCTCGTCTCTAACCACACCAATAACAAAACAATCAAAAAAAGTCAAAAGAAAGACATGAAGAGTGAAATCGAAACCTAATTCATGAAATCACAGAAACGAAGCAATAATGACAGTGCAATTTCAGTACATTTCGGGGTATGAGAGGGAGTCTTCGGTGGCTTCTCGCTCCCGGAAGGCATTCTTCTTGGAATCCTCGGAGAGAACGAAGGTGGAGCAAGTGAAGAGAAGCAGAGAGAGCAGAAGAAGAACCTTCGTCGACGACGACGGTTTCATATGATCTGTTGTGGTATTGGTTCCACCAGATTGTTCTGCCAAAGACAATCGAAGATCGATTTGGTTGAGCGATAGAATGGACAATCAGCATTCCATAGCCAGAATCGTTGGATTGTTCACAGCGTGTCAAATGAAACCCTAGCTAGCTCGTTAAAAGTAGCAGTAGCAGTAGCAGGGTTTCTTTGTCTGTCTTTGAGTGCGATCTGTGAACTGAGTTTGGTGATGGTTGCTACTTGCTGTTGACGCTGGGGGTTTATCGATTCAATTCTGACAAAGGGTGCACCTTGAAACTGAAAAATATATATATATTATATTTGCTATTTAATAATAGAGAGCTAGAAATAATTTTTTATCTTGAAAACTTTAAAAATACTTTCTTTCTTCTTCTGTAAAAAGTTTACGTCCCTATGATTTGTTTCAGAATCATATATATTCTTGTAATTTTTTTATCACATATATTCGTGTGCTTTGGAAAAAATAAAAAACTACAAAAAAAATATGTGATAAAAAATATACCTTTTTGTAAATCAAAGGAGCATATATGATAAAAAAAATTACAAGACATAAATAATTTGGAGAAAGTTACAATGAGTGAACTTTTCCTTTTTTTTTCTAAAGAAAAAATTTCCATTTAATTCTTAAATTTAAATTCTTGTCATACAATTTTCGTTTCGTCAATAAAATATTCATTAAGTCAACCGACACCTCTTTCCCTTCTATTTTCATGTTTATTAGATAATGTTATTATGCATATTAAAATTATAATTAATTGAATAAAAATGGTCAAAAAATTACACATGATTTGTAACTCTTACAAACGTATTTGCCCGCAATTCTTACACATTATTTGTAAGAAAATAGACAGCAGTTCTGCAAACTAAATATGAAACAATATAAACCATGCCCGATTTGATTGTGATTAACCCACTTTGATTACACAATTTTTGATTGTGATCAATCTCTACCAATATAAAAATGAATTAAAACCATGCCCGATTTGATTGTGATCATCGTCTTTTGGTAATTTCTGAATGTTCATTTTCTTTTGGTAATTTCTGAGTGGTCATTTTCTTCAGGTTCCGTAAATCCAGAAATGGAACTGGGGGAAGCAACGTTCGAACTTAAAAAAGATTCTACACTTTCCATCTCACATGGAGGTTAATGCTAAGAAAACTATGAAATGCGGCATGCTAATTGCTAACACCCATTTTACTCAACCCGATTCACATTTTCACCGCACACAATTGCTTCCCTCCACATCGTTCTGGGACTGTACCACATTGGGTAGTTGGTTCCAAGCCCTACTTGATCGAGTGGAATGAGCCAGTGACTTCTTAGCTCATGATAACATAACTCGCACTGAAGGGCCACCGTCAAATATGTTGTTAATTAACAATATGACTCAACGCAGGCAAAATGCAAGATAACTTCCACGTCCAAAAAACACAGGAGTGTGGAAGGCTTGTAACTACTTCTCAAATTAATATTCACAAACAGGGAAAATTCTAACCAGTATAAAGGAACTTGACCCTAAGAAACAGCTACCCTTTTAACAGCTTTAAAGAAAATTCGTAATATACATTGATATCCTACACCTAACGCTCTTGATCTGGACAACCATAGGAAATGGATTCAGGCCGGAATTCCAGTTGTACCAACTGCATCATATAACTCAGCAGCACAGCAGTAATTACCGCAAGGACTAACTAATTACATAATACAAGCAACCTTTGGCTGATGGCCAAATCCAATGCAATTTCAAATAAATCCCAGAGACATCAGTGGATGATACATTTGATCTTGTTATAACCTGAAGTCAGACAATACCAACATCTGATTCTCCCACCTGTGAAAAAATTGAAGGCGTAAGGTCCCTGATCTAACCATCACCAATCACCTTCTCCTTGCCGCATTAACATGCTGATTCGCTTTACTATCGATTCTTATCCTGTCGGCATACATGGGAAGGCGAATTATCTCATTTATTTCATTCAACAAGTCATCCTCTGTGATGTTGTCTCTTATACTTCGCATCACCTATAATAAATTAAGCAAATAGCTGAAGCCAAGTACATATTAAGAGATGTGGGAAATTAGAAAATAGGAGTTGGAGTTGGTGTTGGACCTTCTTGTAAGTATTAAACTCATTTGGAGTTGATTTATCTGTCCTTACTCGAATAAATTTCCATTCTTGATTATCAAAATCCCAAGAACACTCTATGATCTTTGAGGAATAAAGTGAGGGATCTGAACCATCTGCAGATTTAAAGTTTTCATTCAGCATTGCAACATGTGCAATTAAAAAGAACAAAACGGAGACTAGACATTGCAGACTTCACAAAAAAAACAAAACAAAATCAAAATCATCCCCCAAAAAAAGGACAAAATCATGCACTGAATAGTGTTACTAAAGCATTATGCCAAAAAAAAAATGATAGGCAGAGTTTTTTCCCCACCCACCTTTTGGTGGGCGCAGGAAATTGTTTACTGTAATGAAAATCACCAATATCAACTCTAAATTAGCATATGAACATGTGCTGCACTGAGAAACAAATAACGCCATGACTTTATAGATTTCCTATTCTAAAATGAAGCATGAATGAAAGTTATATATATCAGGAAAGAATGAGTTGGACAATTATAAAAAATAAAAAAAACCACTCCCCGTTAAACCCGACTAGCGAGTGTGGAGTGGAGGTAATCCTTGTACGGAGCCTTACCCGTGCATAATTGCAAAGAGGCTGTTTCCTGGATTCGAACCCATGACCTTTCAGTCATGAAAGAACAGCTTTATCACTGCTCCGGTTCGCCCCCTTTAAATATCAGGAAAGAAAGAGTTGGACAATTATAACGAAATAAAAATTTGTCTGACCTCTGAATGCAACCTTATTCCCTTCCATGAGTTTCTTCTTTCCCCGTTCAAAGATAAAAAGTAGCTCGCGATCACCATCAACCTGTAAACACCAGAAGCAACGAATTAATTGGCTGCATCAACAACAAACTATAACTGACCAAGAGACATCAGAAGTAATATCCCAACACCATATGCAAAAAGGTGATGTTACAACCTCAAAGAGAAAATCAACTGAATTCAAATCAGCATACTTCCACTTTAAGAGTCCTTCATGAGTCCGTGGTATATAAGGATCGTCCCAACCCTGGAAATTTATATTATCAGTAACAACCTCCATTGAATCCAATGACAAAATAAAGAGAAGGGAAAAAAACACTAAGTCCATCACCAATGATTTGGAAGGAAAAGTAATGGACCAATGTATCTGGACTATAAGGTAGTTTAGGAGCATTGGTCCCCTTCCCAAATCTTTTACCGGACGTCACAACAGATTTCAGCCACGGGGATATTCATTCTCATGCAGATTATGTTGCAGCATCATGTATTATGTTGATCCCATTGAATGAGGAATTCAACAGATAGAAAAGCAAAGATCCAAAAAGGTAATACCACAACATGATTCAAAAAATTTGTCAGCTTGGCACAGAACAGAGAATCTCATTCTTTTTATTAGAAATATTGAAAATAGGTTGATATTGAGGGATGCAGTCCCACGTCGTTAAACTAATGTTATGTAATAATTATAGTCCATCTATATCATTGAGCCTCCACTCTAATACTCAGACATGCAGATTACATCACATGTTTTCCTCATTTTTTAGATTGAAAGTGATCACTGGTCATAACCCACCTGAAATATGAGACCATCTGCCTCATGTGAAAGTCTTTTGATGAATTCCTTCAAAAGTTTTGTGACAGTAGAGAGTAACCAAAAATCTTTCCTCCTCACCTACACAACATTTCAAGCATCTCAATATTGAAGCCACAAGGAGAAAAGTGAAGTGAAGCTTAAAGTATTATTTGATCAACTCAAGGTTAGAGACATGTACCCTGAATGGTTCTAGGTCATATCTATAGTAAGGATTTCTGCTCTGGTATATATTGTGTCGTTCCTGATTCCTAGGTTCAATCACTTCTTTCTCAAGCATCTTCCAACGTTCATAGAAGGGTCGCTGCACCAAGTTTGAGCTATTAACAATCATACACAGCTAGGCAATCTTCGTATCAAAGAATCGAGAAAGGTGAGAAAGAACCAAATTATAGCGCACACAAATATTAATATAGAAGAATAAAGCTTTGAGCTTTATGTGTACATGTGTTTCGATAAGTCACATACAGCTTATCTGTTCTCTATAACTGAATTAGTTTTAGTTTCTGTTAGCCTTGCGGTCAAGTGCTGACTCACACTAAGTTCAATACAAACCTCTATAGATAGAGGGTCTCCCTATAACAGATGTTATATTGTTTTGATCACAATATGATGATTTCTGAATTTTCACACTTTCCCTCAGTTTTCTTTGAATTAAAAAAAAAATTCAAACATTTCAAATTAAGAATCATCAAATCACGATTTCCCACCAAAATATTTTAATAAAGTATGACTCAAATGTTCTAGATAGCATCCTTTAGATAAATTCACTCTTGGCAAACAAAAAATGTGAATTTGAGACTGCAACCGAAAATATCAATCTTTCATTGACCCTATACAGAGGTTTCAAATGATAGTCACAAATAAGTAATGTCGTGATGAACCTAAAAGGAACAAGCCGCCCTAGCAAATAAGACATAATATTCCTCACAGCCAGTATAATTGCTTAGTCAACAGAATATGAAGATGGTTTTCTCTTTTTGTTAGGCAGCTTTCAATAATGTTTCCTGTTGATCCCACTTATAAAGCCAATTCCCGACAGTAACACCTAAGGACAGTTGTTACAATATGCAGACATAAATTCAAATTTGAAAAAATGGAGCTCTTCAGGATTCTTCCAATACCAAATTGCAACAAAAAGACAACTTAAATTCAAGGGTTGAGGGAGGGGAGAAGATTTAACACAACCATAAATTTAATAAAAAATATGCCTGAGTCATCTAAATGACTGATCCCAGGTTTCACTATAAAACATAGCCAACAATAAAAAGGCCCATGTTTGATTGACCACGAAGCTGCTACAGAAACAGTTGCTATGATTTTTTTCCAGAAAAATGAAACTAAATTAAAGAAAATAGGAAAAAAAACATTTATATTACCAAACAAAAATAAAGCGCTGTTTAGCTCACCACAAAAGTATGAAGTGAGACAATCGAGTGGGACAAATGACAATGAGAAATCATATTGTCAAGCACAAGATCTTTGTTAGAAAATAATATAATCCATTAAAAAGGCCCTCACCCAACAGCTTAAGATTTTGGATTAAATTGGTTTTTTACATGGTATCAAAGCTTCGGTGACCATAAGGTCACGAGTTCAATCCTCACTGCCCCACTTTCTAGTGGAATTAAATAAAAAGCGCAAACGTAAACCAAAAACTGAGCCTGTACAATATCCATGCTTTAAGCCCAAAGGACTCTTGCATGAGGGGATGTGTTAGAGAATAATATAAACCATTAAAAAAGCCCTCACCCAACAGCTTAAGCTTTTGAGTTGAATTGATTCTTTACAATCTTGAAATAAAGAAAGTAATTGGGCTGCATTACATTTTTAGTATATTTCAACAGTGTAATGCAAATTAAAGATAATGGTAACACAAGTGCTTTTCCTATCCCCGTATGAACCAACGAACCAATATTAGTCAAAAACAAAAATGAGATCACCCAGTATTATTTTGGGCTATTACAAATAAACCAAACCTCTATTACTGATACTTGGTTGATTGCCATCAGATCATATATAAGGTATCTTCTCTCCTGCTTCTGCGAATCTGGCAATGTATCAATAACCATCTCTCCATCAAGTAACGTGAAGTGGTGGGTCTTCTCGCCCAAACCCTTAGAATCCAAAGATAATAAAATATCAGTTTGTGCATCATTAATGTTCAAAGAGTGATTGAGAGAAATTTTTCTCTAGGCTGCACACAGATCTCTTATTTATAGTACAACCACAATCAATCAAAGAGCTAATTTGGAGCCATCCAGTGGCTAATTATAGCCTAATCCCAAGCTAATTTACATCAATCATCACAACTTTCGTTGGTAATGGTATTTAAAAGTGCTAAATATAATACACTCTCAAGTAGGAGTATACTGATTATATGCATCAAGCTTGTTAAATTATATCTAACAAGAGGACTTCCAAGGGAACATATTGGAAAATGCTCAATCCAAATGAAGAAAGAAAACACCACTGGAGAGTAGAAATCTTGCTTAGGCAGCCAAGTTCACTAGAACGGGTGATGTGTGGAGATTTCAGGTGAAGGTAGCAGTGCATAACTTTCCGCTTCTAGTGTGAGGATAACTGGTGATCAGATGTAGCTCCAGTGGTGGCTAGTAGGTGGCACAACTGTAGAAAACCAGAAAAAAGGGGGAATAGAGTGGAAAAAGCACAGTCCAAATGAAGAAAGAACACCGCTGGAATCAGATCACAGCACGAGGCAAAAAAGCACAACTAGTAACTGTACAGCGGGTGGCCACTGGCCAGTCTGGGCATGCCAGTGATGACCCCAGTGGTTTACTAGCCAGATATTGACATTTAAGGTTGCCAGAAAATGGAACAGCAGCGGAAACCTTGCAGAAATGACATGTAGCAGTTGGGGTTTGGCCGAATAGAGACAAAGAAAGAAAAGGAACTACCAGATTCGAAGCACAGCACAAAAAGTCAACACTGGCCAGTGGACACAGCAGGATAGAGTTTGTGGGAAGAGAGATGGGTTGACATATGTTGAAATAGTTTGCATCATAGTATTTTGGAAAAATTGTGTCTCTATTCTCTAGGCTGCACATTATCTCTTATTTATAGTATAATTATTACAATAAATCAAAGAGCTAATTAGGAGCTGACTAGTAGCTAACTTACAGCCTAATCACTAGATTAGTTACAGTAATCATCATAATTATAGTCAATAATGGTATTTACACATGTCGCAAAATATAAAATTAGGTTCTATCAGCTCTATCAGCAATTTCCAATATAAAGTAGAACACGTACATCATTTGTACCCCTGCAAGGAAACCTCATTTGGACCCTTCGAAAATTAAAATTTCTATCAATCAAGTAACACCCATCCATCGTTATTAGCATCATATATCGTGTGCCATCAGCTTTCCACGTTGCATAATAGTAACGTTGTCGCAACAACTGCAAGTTATCCCTGCATGCCAACATAATCAAATTTAATATAAATTTAAAGATCAAATAAAAATTAATAAAGAACGTCTTGAAATCAATAAAACTACTAAAATTAAGAAACCTATGAAAGTACATAAATAAATGATAAGTTTGGCAGGGGATGAAGTTTTTTATACAACAACACACACACACACACACACACACACACACAAAAAGATATTCAAATTTTGGGTTTGTCTTTGGGGCACACGTTAAGGAATAAAAAATATAAATCATTAAATAAAAAGTACATGTATTTAACTCTCTTCTTTAAGTAATTAAAGAAAAGTAAGAAAAACAAACCCTTAGTTTTTACTAATGGGAAAATTTTCTCATTAATTATAACTAAAAAAAATAAGAAACAAAAATTTGGTGATAAGTCCATATTTTAGACTCACAAATATCCAAACCTCCAATGCAGAATCTGATTCATTTCAAGAGAATACAAAATGAGGAATTCCCTAAAACCACAACCCCCTCCCCCAAAAGTCCAAAAGAAAATTGAATTGCTAAGGAAGTACTGTAAAATAACTACCGATTTTAAATACAGAAGATTAGGATCTGATACTTGACTGATCTAGCAATTGGAGCAATGGTTAAGAACTACAACTATAAAGAATGTAAGGAATGGGAAAAAATCGTACAGAAGAAGTTATATAAAGATGATGGCTTTAATTTTATGGTAGAAGTTATATAAAGATGATGGCTATAATCAAAGGTCCAACTACTTATGAAAATCAACCTCTGGAGGAAAATCTATAGGAAGAATTATCATTTTCATAGACATTAAAGAAAAAAGATGGACAAAAGAAAATGCATATAAGCAACACAATGCAAACCGCTATGCACAATTATGTGTTAAGGCATAATTACACAACAAATATAAGTACAGTAGCAAAATAAATAGCAGCCCCCATGTTTAATGTATAATTAAACTAACATACATAGTATTTTAATGGAAATAATATGTAAATGGCTCAGATAAATAGAACCTGTTGAGAGAAACTGGGTGTGAACCTGGAAATTGTGTGTGTCCTCTGGCCTGCATATCAATAATTAGTGAAACAGCTATGCAAAGCATGAGGTATATGAAGCAGGTAAATCATCAAAAATAAAAGGAGGGAAAGGAAAGCACAATATTTAAATAGCTTTTGAAAGAATCCATGTTATGTGTAGCTTAGGCTTACACAAATAAATATGAAAACGCAGAATATAATAATGCCCGATTAAAAAATTGACAGCCTCGCATTTACAGTACAAAAGAAGCATCAGGAAATTATATGAGCTATTCAGACACAATTATCACAAATTATTCATATTAAAATGTCTTACACTCTTACTAACCCTTGAATCAACAACATGTAACAAGTCCATAGTAATATCCACGTCATATAAGAATAAGTAACCAAGATTGTTTTGAATAAGAAACACAAAAATATAAGCACATATGAAAAGACATAGTAAAGTAACCAGGAATGACAACATCCAGGCTCAAAATAACATTTCTTAACAAAACAAGGAGCAAAACCTCTAAAATGATAGATACTAATAGAATAATGCAAAAATTTAGAAACATATAACGACAAGTCCAAGCTCATCAAATGACAATCGCAATAACCCAACAATGAGACAAACAAAAAGAGCCAGGGGCCAAATGATAATGTAACAACTCGCGGAATAAATCCCATCAATTCTATGTTGTAATGTAATTGAATAAAAACAGAAAGACAATGAAGTTATTAAAACTGGAACATTTTAATTTTAAAACTGAGTTGTCAAATCCAAGTAATAAAATCATGCATGAAGGACAACCATTTAAAATGCTTACTCCAACACCCAATTTAAGTGATTGATAACAGAACTGTCGCAATGCATCTTGCTGATCAGTAGGTATCTCATCTCCTAAAACATCATCATTTGTCATTCGTGCGTCTAACTCGTTGTTCTCCTGAGAGAATGAGAAAGATGTCAAGATTAAAACAAGTCGCATGGCTGAGTCCACTATTTTTATATGAATATTAGTATGTTACCATTATAGAAACAACAATTAAATGTATCAAATTACTTAACAAGTAGGTTCAGGAGTGTAATAAGGCAACACAAGGCAATCAAGACAGACTCAAATTTAGAACGGACTTCACAGGCAAACTCTCATTGACAGGCATAAAAAGTATCACAGCATTAGTTTTCTTCAAATGTCATATTTACGTGCTACAGTTATGGTGCACTTGGTAGGAGTAAAAATGGACATAAAAAAAAATGAAGTGGAAACAGATGCAAATGACTTTTTTGAAAAGTCCATGATTTTTTTAGACCCATTATGTCTTCTTTTATTCATGGAGAAAGAATTTATTAGAGTGAAAAAGTAAAGTACAACTAGGAGGATGATAAGATATCCTCCAAAACAAAACAAAGAGGAAAATTAAGTTAAGAATGCAACAAGGGTGCACAATCTTTCTGCTTATTGAAAATTAAAACTCTGTCAAAATAGCCATGAGGAAGAAAAAAAAAAGCTGCAAGGACAACACTCTCCAATGTGAATCTAGGGTCAGACAGGTTCTTAAAAATCACAGGTATTCAACTCAAACCAAATAAACCAACAAAAATCAAAAATCGCATCCTGCCACCAATTTTTTTGGTCTCATTGTTTTTACCAAAGGCTTAAAAACATACCAAAGGAAACTGTTTCAAAGTGAAGGGGCACATCCAAGATTTAATCCAGCATATCAAGCAACTTTTTTTCTTGGTATAAAGAACATCAATCAACTTATTCCAAAGGAAGTAGCCACCTTATAATGTAGAAGTTTCAAAACTCAAGCTACATATAAAATATGGAGAATGATATACATAAAGCTTACAAATCTTTAAATGCAATTCATATAATCATGAAGTACCACTAACCATACAAAAGATTTGACCTGAGTCCTAAAAAGGGAATTTTAGATTGCAAAATGGGTTTCTCAAGAAGAAACATATACCTATTTGGAGAATCAATAAAAAAATGAAAATAGGACTTACAAAAAATCATACTAGATGATCAAAAATGCATTCATATTGCTTGAACAAATAGAAAAGGCCAAAATATTGAAATTAACTATCTATATTATTCATACATTCAAATCAGGGCCTGGTACTCCATCATCATCATCATCTGGGATTGCTTCACCATTGAGATCAAATTCAGAAGATCTCTTCCACTCCGGAGTAGGAGGATAAACTACCATTTCAGGCTTTTTCTCATGATAAAATGTGTACAATGCATCAATATAATCAGGTTTGTAGATTCCTGGAGGCCGTGCTTCAGAAAATATTTTTATTGCCTACAAAATGGACAAATCATAGAACTTAAGCAACACCTTAAACAGAAAACAGAGAGAGAGAGAGAGAGCTATATTTATAAGGTAACTCCATAACAGACCTGAGTAACAGACATTGACATAGCACGCATTAGATAATGGATGATCATGTATCCTGTACGATTATGCCCATGTGTACAATGAACGAGTATATACTTCTTTGAGTGTTTTTGACGTGCCAAAAATTGTGTAACCTGGAAATGTAAATAAACACTTGGTAAGAGACTGATCCTCGCATCTTTAAAGAGAATTCGTCATATGAGAGTCTTCTTTGGGATAAGATTAGACGTTGGTATCTACTTGGAGTAAAACGCATGGTCTATTTACAGTGGTTTCTCTTCCAAATATGTTGAGGGATTTGGTAGCTATGCTTCATTAATGTTTTCTTTCTTCTCTAATTTTTTTCTCTTTTCTCCATTTTACGGAGGATCTATAATGCTCCCAACTCTTGTAATCATCTTCTATATCTTAAAGAATATATTCCTAGATCCAAAAAAATAAAAACAAAGAACTAGTAACCAAAATACTGTTGCTCTAACAAGACAGAAGAAAGTATAATTTTTCCTCCGCAAAGGACAAAGCAGTGTTGTTAAAACCGGACCGGCCTGGCCGGTCCAATTCTTGCAATGGACCGGACATGCTATCGACCCGGTATCAACCCGGTGAACCGGTCAAGAACCGCGGTTCAACCGGTATTAACCGGTGGACCAGTTTTATTGCTCAAACCGGTTTTGGAAAAAATATTTCCAATGTTGCAGCCGCTGGGATTCGAACTCGAGTCTCTTGAGAATGCCCAACAACAACTTACCACTAGGCTGAGTTTGTTTGTTGGTTAATATGCACCATTTAATATATATATATATACATAGTAGTTAATTGCGCCGCAATAGCGCCGCGAGCCCGCCGTATGGGCGTTGCAGTGCCTTGCCGCAAGAAACCGCGTCGCGCAGCACCACAACGCAATAACTGCCATTGCGATCGCATTTGCGACCAAATCGCAGCCACATTGCTGTCATAAGGCAAAATGTCAATTTTGTCCTAAATTTAAATGTGTAACAGAAAAGTTTTAAGAGTTTTGTAGTCTATCCGCGTCTCTCTCTGTCACTTATGCTATCTCTGCCTTTAAAAAATGTTTTTTTTTTTGTCATTATTTCTGTCATGTATCTATTCTGCTATTTCCGCAACCGCAACCCGCTATAATGCTATAGTGTTTTTCGGGATTGGCCGCGACATTGCCGCAATCCGCATTTGATAACTATGTATATATATTATCATTTAATAGAATTATTTCAAAATAGCTTTAGTGGGAATCGAACCCTTGTTATGAAGATATAAATTATAGTCTTTATCACTAAACTACATTTAGTTCTTGGTTCACTTGCACCATTTAAAATATTTATTATATAATTGAATATAAAATATAAATTTAAATATATATCCGGTTCATGCGGTTGAACCAGAGACCCACTGGTTGAACCAGTGACCCATTGACCCGGTACCCCGACCGGGTCGATCACCGGTCCGGGTTTAATAACATTGGGACAATGCATTAGCATTCATGGATTTGTATTTTAAAAAGTTTACTTCTACACAGGCACACAAATGAAGGAGCAAAACATGAAGTGTGCAAAAAATATAAAAAGTGTTATAGAAAAAATAACTACTTATTCTAAAGATAAAACCAATCAATTAATAATATTCAAAATATAATGATAATTTAATAGAATGGAGAAGTCCATATGGTATACCAACGAATCAACTTTAGCTTTCATTTAGCTTCTGCTATGAATTAATCTCCAGAACATTTCTTGCAAAATTTAAGTAAAAAAAATCATGAACTTTGAATACAATATATTAAAAGTTTTGAAAGCATCATGAATCCCCACTTCTGGAGCATAAGCTTAGGTAATAAATAAGTTGCTTCAAGTAAACAACATATTGGTTGTCAAATTAAAGAAGCAGAAAATGCAAGCCAATTCTTCTAATTAACTATAGAAGACAACACAAATATTATCAAAAAGAAACACACCTCATAGACGAACTGGTTCACAGATAAATTATCAGGTACAGAATCACGCCCCCTGCATTGAATCTAAACCACAACAACAAACTTCAAATGTAAGGACAAGAAAGAGGTGTCACAGTTTTAAAGACAAAAAAAGAAAATCTTGAGTTGGCGAGTGAAATTTAGCCCCTACAAACCTTAACATGCTTGATACCCTCTTTCTTTAAATCTGACACTGGATAGTATCGAGAAGTATTTGTCAAATCAATCACCAGACCAAGCTGCAATCCATGAGAATAAAAACGTAAAAAGCAGTAATTTTTAAGCAAAAAATCTCTGTATGAACAGCATTTAATTTCTCTACATTGTGCTGCTAATGACAAGCAGCAGAGATTGTGATTGGGTAAACAATAGATATATTGGTCCTTTTTATTTTATTTTTTCCCAGTTTGCTAAAAATGTAAAAATTCATTTCAAGTAGATTACTCCTGCTCTTAAAATTAAAATAAAAGAAAAATTCAATGACAAAGAAGCAGAAGAAATAGACAGAATAAAATCTAAATGAAGCATTACATGTTTTGAATAAATTCTACTTACTTTTCTGCCTAAAACTCTCTGTTGATGTATCACTTGTTTAAATGAGTATCTTTTACCAGGAACAATGCAGTCATTGAATGATTCACCAAGTGGAACCTTAGAAGGTATCATGCAACAAATTTCCTGGCCAGATGAAGGGCAATCCAACCACCCTGCATGTAAAGAATAAATTGGTATAACACATTTTTTAACTTACATGTACAACAATGTAATTTGTGGCCAAAAAAAAAAAGAAGATAAAATTCATTCCAATAATCTCAAATATGAATGAAGCAAATTATAAAATAGCTATCCATCTGCATTTTATAAATACAAATCTTCTAATATCATGTACTCATCTGTACCACACAATCCCCAGCCAGCCCAGGCCAAAAAGAAAAACTCATAAACTGCATCGAACTTTTAATTAATTATTTATTCAAATTTATTCCCCAAAAACTAAGGTTACAAGCAAATACCATCCTTAATACATAATAAATCCACTACAAAAAAAAAATCAACATTAGGGTAGAAACATAGTATGAAATATCTGAATTTAGTATTGCAGGGAGCAATAGCATTATGTGAATATATTACATTGCTGGGAAGAAATATGAATTCAATCACATTGCTAATTATTACTGGCAAGGCACCAAGTGGACCAGGGAAAGAAACCCTTACCCGGAGGAAGCCTACTTTTATCATATGATTTAAGATTCTTAGCATGAAACAGCTGATCATATCCAGGTGACTGTGATACATGTAAGGGCCTGTCATCTGAACGCTCTCTCTTCAACCTTCTCTTTCTTTCTTCACGCTCCTAAAAAGATGCAGTAACTCAGGAATTGTGTTAATGAAAAGACAAGTAACGGTAAGATACAATTTGAAACTCATTATTTATGAAGCCTAAAGAAGCATTAGAACATGTGCCATATATATGATTGGACAGCCAGAAAAGAATTATTTGTTTGGGACTCCAACCAGTTCTAGTTAAAAACTTACATAGCACAGGTCTAGTTTTTTCTCTTTTTCTACTGATTTTAAAATATCTCTATCAAGCACATATACGGTTTTGCTTATTTTTACCCAAAAAGACAAATACTACAGTTATTATGTTATTTCTATTGATAACAGCTTAAGGCTCGAGTTTGCTACACTCCCTTCTATTCTTCCTATTGGACGTCTGCCAACAGATTCTTGCTATTCAAAATCAAATTTGCTTGACTAAGATACTCTTTGTCATTTAACAGTCAACACTCAGCAATAAAATTTGGATACCCTAAATTCATCTTTAATCATAAATCATAATTTTCCTTTTATCTTGCAACTTGCAAGACAGCGAAATTAAGTACTTAAATCAATTCCCACCATCCGCTTATTAAAAAGAACAACCAGATATATGCTCAACTACAAACAAACTTATGCTATCAATTCTCAAGGAAGGGTTCCTGCAAATGTGCAACTGCATTGATTTACACAAACATGAATTAAAAAAAATGTTTAATAGAGGCATTTACTGATGCTGCTGTAATGATGACGACATGACGTAGTTCGCTATTATGGCAGGATATGTGGATTTAATTCCTTTCAAACAGCTCTATAATAAAAATATAATTTGATATTGTGCCATGTCAGGTTGTGATATAGCAGCCAAATTTACAATTTGAATCCACTATTTCCAAAATTAAGACTCCAGTCCAGGGCACCAAGCACTAGGCACCATAGCCAACATAGACTGTCATGATACTAAAAACGGAGAAGATAAGCGGGGGAGAAGGAAGGGGGGGATGGTACCCGGCGTGCTATATCAGCTCCACTTTCTATGCGTTCTTCAGGTGCAGTAAACTCTTCAACATGTATCCTCTCCTCAAAAGTATCTTCATCTTCCTCCGGGACTGGCGAGGCATTCAAGTCCATAGCAACTATCATCAAGCATCAAGCAACATTCGTCCGCCACAGTATCAATCCAAATAGCCCACAAGTACCTTTTGTTTGTCAGTAACTACAATCCTTTTTCCTGCACCATTCAAATAGCAATCCTATTACACCATTATTCCTACATATTCGACCAGTTTATTGTGCTCAACAAAATGGCCAGGGATTTTTATTGTAGTCCTCAACTACAAAATGATCAAGCAATCATGGAAATTGATAAATTAACGAAGAAATCCAAGTTATTTTTCCCCAACCCAAATTAGCCAAACACTTTTCCACCCAAAAAAGAATGAAAGTAAGAAAAACCAAAATTCCCACTTCGCTTCTCTTTCTCTCACATCTTGCCAGCTCCGAGGAGCAACAAAATAGCAGAATCAAAACTCACATCAAGATTCTGCGAGGCTTCAAATTTAGTAAAAGCAAGAGCGCAGAAGAGTCGTAATTCGCAAACCTTAGCACGCGAAACAACGAATTGATTGGTCCCTCGCGCGAGAGTGAAGAATCGAAACTCGGTCGATCACGACTATTACGCAACGCAATCAACCAAATTTGCGCGAAGTGAAAAAAAGGAACCCTAAAATCGTCGTGAGCACAGCTACACTGAGAGTTCGAGTCGAAACCCTAGAGAGAGAAAGTTGAGGTAGAGAGAGAAGAGTTTGTTGGAGTTAGAGAAGAGAGAGAAGCGAGGCAATTTATTAATTAATAAATGAAATGAACGAAGGCATTTATATGAGAGAGAAAAAGAGAGCGTGCGTAAGAGGGGACAAGGGAAGAAATACGCGATTCCAAGGGAGCGAGATTAAAAGGAATAGGTGTTATTTATGCTTATATTTTTTTATTTCTATTCCATTTTTTTTTTAATATCGTTTGATCAAAATTTTAAAAGGAAAGATAAAGGGTGTGAGAAAAAAGGTAAAAATTAATTGAGATTATAATTTAATAGTTTTGAGAAAAATTAAATAGAGTAGGTATAAAAAAAAATAGACATAATATCTTATCTCTAAATATAAATATAAATTATGAATCACAAACAAGCCTAATCAAATATAAATAAATAATAATTAATTAATTAACTATTTTAGGTTTTAAAATGTGTTTTGAGTTTTTGACATTGAAATTCAATTGATGGTGTCCCATGGCCAAGGATAATTATTAATTAATAATTAATATTTGTTTAAAAAGGAATAAATAATTTAATTAAAATATTGCAATAAGAGTGTGTTGCAAATTGAAGGAGAGATGAAGTTCTCATATGCACCGATGATGTAAATGAAGGAAGTTAGTAGTTATCAATAGTTAGTAGTAGGATAAGTTGGTAGTTAATTATTTGTTGTAAGAGAATAATTATTAGTTAAGTCCATGTGCAGTAGTTACGTAGTGGAGTTGCATGTTGAAAATAGTCGATAGTTAAAATCTCGATTTATTATTATAATTTTATATTTTTATGATTTCTTTTATCGAAATAATCTTATTAATATTTCAAACAGTTTTACAACTTTTTATTTCTTTTTTATTTCACGTAAAATTTCGATTTTAATTAATTTGAAAAACAGCATGTCATGAATTGAATCGTCAAGAAAGTTGTCATCCATTTTGTTCATTTTTTTTTTCTCTTTCTCCAATCACATCGCTAACGTGTAACGTAAAAAAAATAACTTTTCAGAATTATACAGAATATGACCAGTCGTACTCTGTGTAAATCTCTAAAAGAACACAATTTGTATCCTTTTGAATGACACACACTAAACTCATAAACATACATAAATCATATACATGTCATTCAAGTTATCAATTGAATTGAAAGTGTTAACGGTGATTACCACCATTTGAGGGTTAGATTATAAAATAGACTCCAATTTTATTTATTTTCAAACAAATACAATTGCACAACACCTTTGTTGTCTAAAAGGAATTTTAAATTGAGTTGGAATAAGTTGAACAAAATTTTCGAAGTCTTCATTTCAACTCATTTAAATGATCAATGACAATTATTTTTAGAAAGGGGAAAAATTGTAATTATGACGGGAGTAAATGTGGAGTCATGGAGATATGATATTTTATTAAAGAAAAACATCGGAAAAAAAAATTCTAAAAGGGTTATGGGCCAACAAATTTCGTCATGTGTCAACGTGGGAGTATTGCAGGGGAACAAATTTTTGGTACTCCTATAATACCATACGTCCTTCTAGAAAGAATAAAAAATTGGCACTTTATTTTTATTTTTTGTATTAAGAGGGGCTAAGCCCCAAAGAAAATAAACAAAATTACAATGCTAATCTAGTAGCAGATGAAACACTAAGGACATCTTTAAACACTAAGAATAAAAAATTGGCACTTAGATGAAAATAAAAATTAAGATATTCGTTTAAATGGTATATAAAAAAAAAATTAAGAGAAGGGAACTACCGCAGCACCAAAGAAAAATTCGTTGCAGGGGAAGTGGTGCGACACTCGCCAGATTGCACAATCTCGATTTTTATAAGGAATTTTTTCAATGAAAAAAAAAGTAAAACCTTTTTGATCATTAATAAAAAATACGGAATCTATTTTAATTTTTTAGATAAAAAAAATTAACTTGTGATCCCTCTAAAATTTCCTTTCTTTAAAATTGTGATCACTCGTAAATTCAAAGAAAATTCATATTAGTTTCTCAAATAGAATTAATATAAATATTTTTTTAAGAAATTAAAATGGGTTCCCAATTTTTTTTGAACCCACACCACACAGGTATTTACTCTCAAAAAAATAAAAATAAAAAGGAAAGTCGCACGAATGGTGTGAGACTGACTATTTCAATTGAGAAACATATTCTCAATTACCCTTTTTTTTAGGGGATTGACCCAGGAAAAGTCAAACAATGGATAAAAAAAATATGCGAATAAAAAATAAATGAATAAAAATATATGACAGGTTTCAATATCTTTATATTATGTATACAATCATTTTATTTATTGGGAAACATATTTTCTAACACAATAAATTAAATTAACACTAATATATTGAAAATCAAAATGCAAAAATTTAAAAAATGCGAAAATTTAAAAAACACAATTTAAAATAATAAATAATTTGACAGCATCCCTTCTTCTAAAAAATTTTCTATGGATTCGTCTGAACTTTTTTAGAATTAAAATCATAAATAAATTTACTCCTTATTTCTATTATGAATTTATGTATTTAAATAGTGATGTAGTAGTATAATAACATTATATGTTGAAGTTATTTAGGACAAAGGTTTTTATATAAGTTTAAGAAGTCAAGCAATGAATCATGACAAGCATGATGAGAGACATGGATATTGAGTGGCAACCTTTGGTCAGTGCTGCAATGTCTACAATTTGGAAAAGTTAAAATCAACAACTTAATACATTAAACATTTTTTTTCACTTTTTATGTCAAGTGATTAGGATTATTACGCTTATGTATTTTACTAATTTTTATTATCGTTTATTTTCTTTGTGATTTTGGCAAGATATATCATTTAATTTCTAAGAATAAATTAATAATTGTAGTTTTGCAAAAAATAAAAAGAATGATGGTAGAATAAAATTATTCATATACGTTATGTACAAAAAAAAAAAATTATATAAGTTTCATTTCAACAATTCCATTATTAGAGTTATAATTTAAGCATGTGCGGGTTTAAATGCAAGTAATGCACTTTTTTTAATTGTTATTCATCCCTCTTTTCCCTTTCATAAGCTAGGATAAAAAATTTAATATAAGATTATTATGCTTATTTTTTTTATTGATTTTATTATTGCTTGTTTTCTTTGTGATTTTGGTACGATATATCGTTTAAGTTTTAATAATAACTTAATGATTGTAGTTTTGCAAAACAAAATAAAACAAAACTCAATGATGGTAGAATAAATTTATTTATACAAGTTTTGTTTCAACAACTCCAATATTAGAGATGTAAGATACGCATGCGCTACCCAATGGGTGCAGTTCAGTTGGTAATTTGGCGCTGAGTTAGTGGGGTTGGATATGTGTTCGATTCCCGCTGAATGCATTCTTGGGGAGGGGGCTGAACCTTTAGCCATCACTGTTTCCCCGCACTCCGGATTAGTCCCATAGCCGGCTCAAAGAGTCGAAGCTCGTGGGGATACCGGAGGGAGCCAACTCGTCTCAAAGAGATAATTAGGGTTGGGTAACTCCAAATTAAAAAAAAAAAAAAAAAGATACGCATGCGCTTTTCGCCCAGAATAAATAAATAAGATTCGCATGCGCGAGTTTAAATACATTTTATGTACTCTACTCTCCTTTTTTATTCATCCCTCCTGTTTTCTCTTTCATAAACTAATAATAATAATAATTATTATTATTATATTTAACAATGGTGTTAAATTTTATTTAAATAATGACTAGCTAATCATCACCTATTTTTTTGGTGCTAATAGTAACCTATTTGTTAATTTACTTTATTCATTTTATGATTTTGTAAAGTAAAAAGAGTACACAATAACTGCATCCACTAATTATTTTCTTACATTTTGGGACGAAGATTGGATTATAAAATTCTATTATAATTAATTAATTTTACATGAAACTAAAAGATAATTAAGATAAATAAATAATTATAATTTATTCATAGTTATATTTAGCAGCCAATTAATCCAAAAGGGTGTTATTATATAGCAGACAAAAAAAATTAAGAATATGTGTAGTTGCCTCATAAGTAGGGTTCATTGTACTGGACTCACATTTTGTTTCCATATGGTAGAGTCCCAAGATTCTAGGCCCTCCAGAGTTTTCCAAATTTGAGAATTTTATAACCTTTATTTTTTGTGACACAACTTTATATGTAACTTTTTTTTGGAAATTACTTTATTTGTATCTTTAAAGTAAGGAAAATATATTTATTATCTTGAATGAGATAATTTGTTTATGTAACACACAAAAAGTGATTACGATTTACTTGTTTTTTTTTTCTCTTTTTTAGTGGATCTTATCTCTCTTTTTTTGTATAAAATAAATTATCTCATATAACATGAAAAATATATTTCCCTTAAAATAATCATGATATGTTATAAAAAAAAAAAAAAAATCATGATAAAACTTAAAAAAATTTAAACAAAAAAAAATACATATTAAGCAACGACATCCAAGATCAAATACCGCAACATCATCTTGCATAATAGAATATAGATATCACTGTGTTCATCCATTTCATCAAAACATTTATTTGAATCAGACTTAATTGTATGTGATTTGACCTAATTCCTTTAAGGGTCGAGTGGATATTCTTTAAAATGATATAAGTTAGTATTTTTTTAATGACTTACATAAAATTCTATCGGTAAGACATTGTGTAAATGTTAAGAATCTTGAGGTCACCACCCCAAAATCTAGCTCACAGGGTGGGAGTGCTTAATGCCTTATAAACCTCACATTAGTTGCCCATACAATCAATGTGGGATTATATTTCTCAACACGCCCCCTCACACGAGAGCCCACTGGGCTTGAAGGGTAGACAACATACAAGCCCACCTACATGTGGAAATTCCACTACAAAGAAAGTGGGAGGCGGTGAGATTTCGAACGCTTTGATACCATGTTAAGAACCTTGAGGTCACCACCCCAAAAGTTAGCTCACAGGGTGGAGTGCCCAAGGCCTTATAAACCTCACATTAGTTGCTCATACAACCAATGTGGGACTATATTTCTCAA